TCCAAGGCGGCTTTAGTAGCTGGTAGCTGAAATGTGACCCCCCCCATATCGAATTTAAAATAAAACCTCAAACTAAATTTTCTCTCATAACCAATTCTTATAAAAATTACAGTTAATAAAAAAGTAATAAGTATTTTAAAATGGAAGTTTCAATCACTCTATATATGACCAGACTGGGATGGATATATAGATAGATAGATAGATATGACCAAACTTAGATAGATATGACCAAACTTAGATAGATATGACCAAACTTAGATAGATATGACCAAACTTAGATAGATATGACCAAACTTAGATAGATATGACCAAACTTAGATAGATATGACCAAACTTAGATAGATAGATAGATATGACCAAACTTAGATAGATAGAAAGATATGACCAAACTTAGATAGATAGATAGATATGACCAAACTTAGATAGATAGATATGACCAAACTTAGATAGATAGATATGACCAAACTTAGATAGATAGATATGACCAAACTTAGATAGATAGATATGACCAAACTTAGATAGATAGATATGACCAAACTTAGATAGATAGATAGATAGATAGATATGACCAAACTTAGATAGATAGATAGATAGATAGATATGACCAAACTTAGATAGATAGATAGATAGATAGATATGACCAAACTTAGATAGATAGATAGATAGATAGATAGATATGACCAAACTTAGATAGATAGATAGATAGATAGATATGACCAAACTTAGATAGATAGATAGATAGATAGATATGACCAAACTTAGATAGATAGATAGATAGATAGATATGACCAAACTTAGATAGATAGATAGATAGATATGACCAAACTTAGATAGATAGATAGATAGATATGACCAAACTTAGATAGATAGATAGATAGATATGACCAAACTTAGATAGATAGATAGATAGATATGACCAAACTTAGATAGATAGATAGATAGATATGACCAAACTTAGATAGATAGATAGATAGATATGACCAAACTTAGATAGATAGATAGATAGATATGACCAAACTTAGATAGATAGATAGATAGATATGACCAAACTTAGATAGATAGATAGATAGATAGATAGATATGACCAAACTTAGATAGATAGATAGATAGATAGATATGACCAAACTTAGATAGATAGATAGATAGATAGATATGACCAAACTTAGATAGATAGAGCAGATGGATAGATAGATATGACCAAACTTGGATAGAGATAGATAGATAGATATGACCAAACTTAGATAGATAGATAGATAGATAGATATGACCTTAGATAGATAGATAGATAGATAGATATGACCAAACTTAGATAGATAGATAGATAGATATGACCAAACTTAGATAGATAGATAGATAGATATGACCAAACTTAGATAGATAGATAGATAGATATGATTTTAGATAGATAGATAGATAGATATGACCAAACTTAGATAGATAGATAGATAGATAGATATGACCAAACTTAGATAGATAGATAGATAGATAGATATGACCAAACTTAGATAGATATGACCAAACTTAGATAGATAGATATGACCAAACTGGGAATTGAAAACAAGCTCTCTATTTTATGTAGAAGTGGCCAGCCAGGTGTCCTGATTAACACTGTGGCTTTTTTCTTTGAGGGTTGATTAAAGGAGAAAGTCTACTATACAAAACAAAAACTTTGGAAGAACCTGAAGGGCGAATACAAGAAGTTATGTCTTCCATGCCACAAGAATTCCTGATGAAATCAGTTGATGTGATTCCTTGGTGGTCCGAGAAGCTGGTAGCGAAATCTGGTGCCCATATCGAATTCTAAATAAAATCTCATGTTAAACGCTTTCATCTGATAAGCATTTCTTGTAAAAATTAGTGTTAATAAATTATAAGTATTACTTTACAATCACCCTGTATATATAATTCCCAAGAGGATAGAATCCCGGTAGAACTCAATGTCCAGGACAGAGTAAGAATATAATATAAAAGGCTCAAACACTAATATTCCATGGTTATAATTTATTACATTGGAATCGTAATGACAATCCAATTCATCCGACCCACAAATTCAAGAAGAAATCGGAAAATATCTTTTTGAATTTGTAGCTCTGATGATTTGGATCGTCATTACGATTCCAATGTAATAAATTATAACCATGGAATATTAGTGTTTGAGCCTTTTATATATATATATATATATATATATATATATATGTGGAAGCAGCGCACATCTTGCCAAAAGATCTAAATACTCTTAAACATGTTAAAATCTCGGACAAGGATGGACAGCAATAAGAAAAAAGAAAAAGACTGAAAGGCAAACACCTACTTACCCAGTAAAGTGCCCAATGTCTAGACAGACCAAAAACGCTTGACGACGAAAAGATGGCCCTAGTCTTAAACCGAATTTCACGCTTATGCGAACTTCAGACGACTTGAACGCCTCAGGACGATATAAAAATAAAGAATTCCTGTGGATCGCTTAAACAATCGGAAATGAAGATATCGCAAAACGTACTAAATACATGTTTCCCGCTCCCATGACTAACGGACACGAAGGCTGAGCTGTCCTTTTGGAGGGTAGGACAGGCCCTACTAACATCAGTTATATTTAGTTTACTTTGTGTTGATTTGTTAGTTTATTATTGGGTTCATCTCCCTCCCCTCTCATCCTTCCTTATTAGAGTTTCATGTATTATCATGTATTATCATTTTTATGGCATGGGGGCGCGTTTTGTAGGTCCCCCCTGAGAGGGTGTGGTATTGCGGTTTATGGAGGATTGAGTGGTGATGGACGAGTTTTTATGGTGAATGTGAAAATTGTAATGTGAATGGGTCATGAATCGGATTAGCTAGGTATAGGATAGTTAGTGTCGACCAGCCTCAACTCCTCCCCTTTTAAGGCCATACAATAAATATAACTAGCCGAAATTTTTTCGGCAAGACGTTCGAACCCTTTGTTTCTAAGCAGAGAGGAACCCAGACGAAGCTCCACCGATGGGCAGAGTCTCGTTCGGGGAGGTTGACCAACCCGATCCCGCTATGCGGTTTTTACGGGCATTTTTTGGCCGAGCCTACGGGCTCGGAGAAGCCACGTTAAACCCGGCCTTGTGCCACATGCAACCCTCGTGGTTGGTGGCTAAATATACTAGCCGAAATCTTTTAAAACTAGTCCTGACCTTGGCCAGTGCTTAATACCTTATTTCCTTTTGCTTTTGCGAAGTACGTGTTTTATTTTGTAAAACTTTGAATTTTTCAGTTTGCCTTTGTTCTTATTTTGTGCAGTTTTATTTGGACGACTTTTTTTGTTTCTTTCGTGTTTATTTCCCTTTGTTTATATTTTTATCCCCCCCCCCGTTTTAGTTACCTTTTTTCTTTGGTTTACTTCTTACGTGTGTATTGGTTTTATTTTTCCATGTTTTTCATTTTATTTGGTTGTTCACAATTTTTGTTTTCGCTTTTTATGCCTGCTTTTAAAGAAAAAAAATATATAGAAAGAGGCCAAGTCTTATTTGTTACGCCGTGTTGGCTAGTTGCCACCATGAACGAAAATTTAACTACGCCGCCGGAACAGGTGGAAAATACGTCCCCGCCGGAAAAATGGGCCTGGGCGGAGAGTGGCCCCCCAAAAGAAAGATGCCAAGTATTATGAGGAACAATGTGGTGAATTTGATAAATACCTACAAGGCAATGTGTTCCTCACCATTCCGGAGGTCTTGGTGTCGGTTAACGCCAAAATCATATCTTTGCTGACTACCGATGTAAAAAGGTATAGACTTTTGGAGTCAGCAGAGAAAGTATGGAGGAAGCGTTGAAGAGCCTCAAGATTATGCCCAAGTTGCTAGCAAGGAGAAGCAACGCGATGTGGGATCTTCTTCTCAGTTCCGAGCAAGAAGCGAAGCAACTCGCTGGAAGTAGTCCTTCTGACGTCCTCCTTACGATCCCAGACGGAATACATGGGTACAAGGAGGACAAAAATAACAGTACATGGCGGACCAGTTGACATCACGGAGGACAGGATTGCAGTTTTTTTCGCTAAATATGGTCCAGTCGACGACGTGAGTGCTGTTAAAAGCAAGCCGAGGATAGCAACGGGAGACAAGACAGACGTTTTTAGACATCTCGAATATTCTGACGTGCCGGGACAAAAGAATGTTTGTCGTGGTAGAGGAAAGAAGGCCGTGTTGTTGGGTGTGTAATGCAGTGGGGCATATGGCAAAGTCGTGCCTTGGGAAGAAGATGGAACAGCCCACGAAAACTACACCAACACCAGCAGCAGAAGTGATAGCAGAAAAAGAAAAGGACCCCCAGGTGAGGAGGGGGGTAATGACAAAACCAACCTCCCCTCAACAGCACGGAAAACCAGCATGGCAGGAGCAACAACAGCAGAAGCCCCAGCAACAACAGAGACTGCTGAAATCACCAAAAGCAACATCCAAACAGCAACAAAAAGAACAGCAATAGAAAGTAGCAGCAGCAACCGGAAGAGGAGATGGAGGTGGAGGAAATGCCTCCCCCCTCGATCTTCTTCTTTGAAGAGAACTAGAGAAGAGGAGGAGGACGCTGAAGGACCCGTAGAGAAACGTGTCGGCCGAAGTAGGGCAGAAAAAAAGTCTGCGAAAATATAGGTCTTCATCACTTTCCGTCTCACCAGGACAATCTACAAGAGAACTGCCCAAAGCTAGGAGCCTCCCCACTTCACCTACTTGAGCTCCATCCCCTTCTTCCTCCATCTCCTGCCAGTTCAATATCTACTCCCCATCACTCTTCCACTTCTTCCCCTCCACCGTGCCAGGGAAGTAAGATAGATATGGATCAAGTGAAGAAAGGCCAGTCAAGTCATAAAAGAGCTTTACTGGGTCTTCTGATGAAAATGCAGATGGTAGATGGGAAATCCATTGAGGACTCCAGAAACTCTCCGGATGCTGCTGGGGTAATCACTTGTGTAAGAGACACGGCGGGGGGGGACGGCTTGTGGCTACCTAAAAGTTTGGGCGCATCGGGTGGAAGCGCAAGAAGCATTCCCCAAACTTAAAATGATGGCTTTAAAAAAAAAAACAAAGACAATATTGTTCGGGGAGGGTTCCTGTTATGTTCCATCCCTCCTTATATAGGTGTGTGAAATTAACATATCCCACGGACGTCGGTGGAATTGTCCTGGATGGACGAATGACATCAGAGCTAGGAGTGAGGAGCCTAGGACAATCTGTCGAGGTCCTGACCAACGCAGATTTCCGGCCCGTATATGAGTAGGTCTTTTTCTTTTTAATCTTTTTTTTCAGACCTAATCGGTGTCTCTCAAGATATCCAGTTTAAATGCGAAGGGATCGGGGTAAGGCCGCCCGCCTGCTCCTGGATCCCCTATTTTTCGGTGATATCGCCGCGATCCAAGAGACCCACTTTGTTTACAGCGTTGATGCAGAGAGCGACTTTGTCGTTTATTCAGTATATGGGGACCAACATGCCAGAGGAGTTTCTTTGCTGGTGAAGCGGACTCTTGATGCGAAGGTGGACCTTGTGCATACCGATGCCGAGGGCCGGTTGATCGTGGCCGATATTGCCTTGAAAAGTGGTTCGTTCCCAGTCGTTGCAGTTTATGCGTCCAAAGACCAGAAGGACCGGGTCTAGTTTTTTCGGCGGTTGGGGCCGTTCCTGGTGGATTCAACGCGCCTAGTGTTAATGGGGGACCAGAATGCCATCCTAGATCCCAAGTCAGACAGGGGACGGGGAGCTAGTGGGAGGAGGGGCGATTGTAGCCTGGTTGATCTGATCAACGATTTTGGTCTCGTTGAGAGATACCAGGTCGATCACCCCGGGGGAAAAATGTGGACGTGGGTTCTTAGTTGGACTTCTGACAAGGTGGTTAGCTACCTTGACAGAATGTTAGTTAGAGGAGCTGACGTAGACTTGATAGATTGTTCCACGTTCCACTGGACAGGCTATATGGACCAAAAACTCGTTTGTGTCCGCATGGCGTTAGCTCGTAGGCTTAGAATGGTTAGCTACTGGAATTCAATCTGTCTTTGCTGGACAGGCGAGACTTCCAAGAGCAGCTAACTAGCTTAGTGCATCGGGAGATAGTGGGGGCGGTTATCGGGAAGAAGTTGTGGGATAGACTTAAGTGTAGGATTAGGTCTTTCACCACGGATTTCAGCAAACAGCTCGCCCTAGATAGAGCTGATAAGGTGAAGATGCTTAAGGCTAGTCTTACCCGGGCGATAGCTGGGGGGATCCCTTAGAGATAGCCTTATCTAGGGAGGCCGTGGAGCGTTCGAATAGCGAGCGCTAGATGGGCCAGGTAATTGGACATAGGTTAAGCAAGATGTCTTCCGAAGCGGTGAACATGGGCGCAGAATTGTGCAAGGAAGAGGTCCGTCGAGGTTCCGGTCGGTACATTCGTGAGATCACAACCCCGGAGGGGTGTACTCTGCGGGTCACTGACGGCATGTTGTATATAAATATACTAGCCAAAAAAGATTTAAGGCTAGACGGTCGAACTCTCTGCCTCTGAGCAGAGAGGAAGCCGGACGAGGCTCAGCCAAAGGTAGGTACCTCCACGAGATCGCTAAAAAAAGAGCATAGCATGATGAAAAAGACGCCAAACTTGACGAAAACAAAACTTTATCGTCTAAATGTTTGTTATTATTAAGAGGAAAGATCAAAGTATTTTTGGGGTATTTTTTTTCCATTTTTTAATCGTTCCTAGCACGTCCGAAATTTTCGTTAAAATCTAGTTTTTTGAGTCAGCAAAATTGACCATTTTTTTCCATTTAAAAAAAAAACTGGAAATCTGACTTTGAAATTTTTTAAATATCAATTATCATTTTTTCAAAACTTATTTTAAGAAAAAATCAGAAATTATAATGCTTATTTAAAATATTTTGAACCAAACTTAACTTAGCTTTTGTGCCAAAAAGATGTAATTTGAAAATAAAACAAAGCAGGTCATAAACTTTTCGCGTCTCTTGACATGTGATGAATGATATATTTACGAATTCCATGAGGCTAATTTGTTCTACGGAAGGAGAAAAGTGAAATAATTTACATTTACGTGAACAAATTATTTACCCCGTTATTTTTAACGAAAACTTTCAGCGGTCTAATTTTTTTTTTTTTTTTTTTGCACTTAGTTTTCACCTTTACGTTTATGATGCTTTATGGGAAATATATTCTAAAGAAATTAAAATAAAACTGTTAAAATGACATTAAATTTCATATTTCTTAAGAAAGGTATCTAATTAATTTATAGGTACCTTTCTTATGAAATTTTATCAGAATTGTACATAAAATACTATAATTTTATGTACATTTATTACATTCTACTGTTATTTGTATTTGCATTCATTTTATTATTAATTTTGATATTTCATTTATGGAAAAATGTCATAACTGAGTTTAATATAAAAATAAGATTATATAAATTTCATAAGAGGATACTGATACTTGTAGGTACCCTTCTCAGTTGAAACTGAAAAATCAAATTAACTCCACACGTGTTTCGCAAAAGTAAAGGCCTTAACAGCGGAGAACGATGCTTAACTCGAATAACGAAACTTAATTGTATTCTGGTTGGTCTTCCGTACTTTATAATTACAGCCCGATTATAAACACAGAATTACATTTCTTAATTACTGCGGGTCTTCTGATTAGTCAAAATGATACAATTTACAACGCGCTAAAAAAGATCTCATAAGAACACTTACGAAAGTGGATGCGGCTTTTAACTAATTTTATAATATTTTAACAACTTAAATGTAAAATCTATTATAATTAATGAAATAACAAATAATTGTATTAAAAATTCATTTTTCATCGAAAAAATTTTTTTGCTTTCAGAAAATATTGTCCATATTCATAAAAACAACTAAAAGCAAATAAAAGCATTTGAAATTAAATAATATCTTTGTTTTATTGAGTTTTGTATGTTACAATTCAGAGCTGATTTTCAGGTACTGCGTATCCAATTAAAAAAAAACAAAAAAAAACATGATTTGCATTCCTCAAAGCCCTGTGCTTTTAATTATTGTAATCACTAAAACCGATGCGATCGAATTTCTAGCGTTTTCATAAAATTAGTTATGGGGTGGGGTAAAAAATATTTTAAAAAAATATTTCTACCATGACTTTCATAAAAAAACATATTTATAATAATTTCGATCATCTGTGAATAGTTCCTGAAAGTTTCATTAACATCCGATAATTATTTCTATTTTTTGCACGATTTTTCAAATTAATGTGTGTCATACCAAAAAACGTGCTAAAAATTGTCTATGTTATTTACTAGTTCCGCTGATACAAATAGAAAAAGGTTTTTTAATCAAAATTTAGAATGTTCTAAAAAGAAGGAAATTTTTTAAAAATAATTAAAAAAACTTTGGTCTTTCCTCTTAATAATAACATAAGCATTTAGACAATAAAATTTTGTTCTCGGCAAGGTTGGCGTCTTTTTCATCAAGCTATGCTCTTTTTTTAGCGATTTCGTGGAGGTACACAGCCAAAGGTCAGTCTCGTTCGGGGAGGTTGACCAACCTGATCCCGTTAAACCCGGCCTTGTGGCACATGCAAACCTCGTTGCCGGGGTGGCTAAATATACTAGCCGAAATCTTTTTCGGACCCACATTCGAACTCTCTACTTTCGTGCAGAGAGGAACTCGGAGGAGGCTCTGCCGAAGGGTAGAGTCTCGTTCGGGGAGGTAGACTGACCCTCAACCCGTATATACGGGTTTGAAAGGGAAGAATTTTGGCCGAGCTTACGGGTTCGGAAGACCCATGTAAAACTCGGACTTGTGCCACATCTATGCTTTTAGTAGATATTGACTAACCGGAATCTTTTTTGGCTTGCTGCTGGAACTCTCTGCCTCTGAGCAGAGAGGAACCCGGATGAGACTATGTCGAAAGGCAGAGTCTTGTTCGGGGTCTACGAGGATATCCCACGTTAAACTCGGCCTTGTGCCACATCTACCCTCGCTCGTGGTGGGGTGTAGTAAATACCGACTAGTTGGAATCGAGACTAGATGGAATTTGTTCCAGCTCTGCTGTCGAACTTCCTGCCTTCGGGCAGCGAGGAACCCGGACGATGCTATGCCGAGGTACAGAGTCTCATTCGGGGAGGTAGACAAACCCGAACCCGTTTATGCAGGGTTTAGGGGCTCGGATTGCTACACATTAAATTCGGCCTTGTGCCACATCCTACTCTGTGGGGAGATTGGTAAATATTACTAACTGAGATCTCTTACTCGTGAACTACCGACCTTCCACTAGTAGCACTCACTACTAGATTGACTTGCGATGACCTTGTGCATTATTGTACTGATTTTTTTTACAATAAACCTTTACTCATTTTATCCACCTTGTTTTTCAAGTATATATTCCTATTAGCAGAGAATATAAAAATATGGAACAGTAAAAAGTTTATATGCCTAAAATTCAAGATATCCCACTTAACAGTATATAGACCACTTCAAATTATATTAATTCAAAAACAAAAATGATTACTTAAATTACCAGAGAACTGATTAAATCTCTTGAGAATTTTTTTTTTCGGGTTTAAGTCAATTGGTTCAAGATAATCTGTAGATACTAGTATAAGTAATGAAAGCAATGATTGTTCTAGAGCAGCTGACAAGGACTTCTTACTCTGGCAGTCAATCAGAGATTCAAGTAATTGTGATAACAGCAGTAAATCCAATGTCTAAGAAGATCCTTGATTTTCCTGAAGTGGTTGATGAAACCTGAAAAATTATAAACATAAGTCAACGGACTACAGAGACCAGCTGGGATCTGTTGAGTACGACTCAGACTTACTTGTGAACTACCGACCTTCCAATAGTAGCACTCACTACAGGATTGACTTGCGATGACCTTGTGCATAAATGTTACCTTTATTCTTTTTGTACTGATTTTTACAATAAACCTTTAGTTATTTTATGCACCGTGTTTTTCAAGTATATATTGCTATTAGCACGGAATATAACACATTGGTAAAGAAGAAGTTGATTTCAGACGTTTTCTTTCCCAGAACTGTCGTGATTGTCGTCTTGCTTAGCACATGTTCGCCTAAGTAAAAACCATTAATAAAATAACAGTAATAATAGTGCATGGAGCCCAGAGGAAGTTTAAAAATTTATATGCCACAGTTATTTATGTAGTTAAAAATAGCAAAGAGAATTGCTCTGGGGGAGGGGTATGAAAAGGAATATCAAACCACTCTTTCCTGACTTTAGCCACAAGGTTCATTTTTATACACGTATTCAGGAGTGCTAAACAGTTATATTGGTTGGTTGAATGATTTGTTTAACGGCATATCAACACCTTATGGGTCATTTAATACCGAAATTTAATTTTCTTGGGAGTTTTAAAGTAATAAAAATTTGTTATTCTCTTTTCACAATATATGGTAGATGATACTCACATTTTGGGGAAATACATGTTTATTTGAACGTACTTACTAGTGTCGAAGATGTGTGTTTTATGTTGCATCGTATGCCTTCAACTAAATATAGTTTCAACGCCATCGTATGCCTTCAACTAAAAATACCCCACTTGGTAGCACCTGTTAGGATCACAGCTAATAGTAAACTCCAAAACTAAAGTAAAACACTGTTAATGTATAAAAAATATTTTTATAGTAAAATACCAGCAAAACATATTTATGTAAAAAATGACCCACGATAAATTTTATCCATAGGTGAAGGCATACAATGGCGTTCAAAAATATATTTAGTTGAAGGCAGACAACGGAGTTCAAAAATATATATAGTTGAAGGCAGACAACGGAGTTCAAAAATATATATAGTTGAAGGCAGACAACGGAGTTCAAAAATATATATAGTTGAAGGCAGACAACGGAGTTCAAAAATATATATAGTTGAAGGCAGACAACGGAGTTCAAAAAAATATATATAGTTGAAGGCAGACAACGGAGTTCAAAAATATATATAGTTGAAGGCAGACAACGGAGTTCAAAAATATATATAGTTGAAGGCAGACAACGGAGTTCAAAAATATATATAGTTGAAGGCAGACAACGGAGTTCAAAAATATATATAGTTGAAGGCAGACAACGGAGTTCAAAAATATATATAGTTGAAGGCAGACAACGGAGTTCAAAAATATATATAGTTGAAGGCAGACAACGGAGTTCGAAAATATATTTAGCTGAATGCCTCCAACTAAATATGTTTTGAACGCCATTGTATGCCTTCAACTATATCGGCGTTCAAAAATACAACATCCAAATCCGGGGTTAAAGCGCTATGAAAGTATAAAAATACATTTTTATTGTAAAAATAAATTAGCAAAGCTCTCAAGAAAATCAAAGTTCGCCATTGAATGACCCATAAGGAGTTAAACCAAACCAATCCTTCTATATGGCACTGAATGCTGGACAATTTTCTCACAGATGAAGAAACTTGAAGCAACATAAATGTAGTCCTACAGAAGGATGCTGAGGATACCAAGGATTGAAATTGTGAGCAGCGATGAAATTTTAAAGAAAATAGAAACATCAGGAAGAGACAGCGGAATTTTAAGGACAAATGAGGAAAGCAGGCTTGGAAAATCTGATATTCACAGGACAAATTGAAGACAAAATGGACAGAGGAAAGCAAAGCATAATCTACCTATCAATCTTGTGGAAATGAATAGCCGAACAAGGTTTAGGAGAAATAACGCAAAAACAAAATTTTTTAAGAATGCAAATGATAGGAAGTTGTGGAGAGTCATAATCGCCTACGTCCTGAAGAGACACGGCACATAGAAGAGAAGAAGCATAAAATAAAGTAATAATGGAAGTGTGTCACCGTAGAATAAAAACATACAATGTTCGCCATGATGAATCTGTTTACATTTTCTATTGCTTCTTTAAAAGCAACATTTTTTTAAAAGATTTTTTCCGGTCCTCATAATTCCGTTTACTAAATCACTTCCTTTAATTCTTTCCCTTCCTGTGTTTCTTTTGACGCAAATGCATTTAAATAGTTTTACTTTTGGCATTTTTCATAAGAAAATGAAGGTACTTCGGCAAAGTTGACTTTTATTACAGAACGCAGCTGACAAAGTGTCGCCATTAACTGAATATGGTCGTTCGCATCGGACTGCCCAGAGAAGAACGCCATCTTGCGAGAAACGTTTGCGCAGTAACTATTAACGAGTTCCAGTTGAATTCTGAAAAAAATTTTTCCCTATTTTTATTTTGCCCATTGAGATTATATATATATATATAAAATCTTAAACTGTTTCTGTATACTGGATATAGTTGAATATGGTGCAGGTTTTCGTGATCAGTTTCACGTAAAAGAAGTGATGGAAGGAGAGAGAGAGGAGGGATAGAAGGACACAGAGAGAGAGAGGGGGATAGAAGGACACAGAGAGAGAGGGGGTAGAAGGACAGAGAGAGAGAGGGGATGGAAGGACACAGAGAGAGAGAGAGAGAAGGAAGGACACAGAGAGAGAGAGAAGGAAGGACACAGAGAGAGAGAGAGAGAGAAGGGGGGAGGACAGAGAGAGAGAGGGGGGGAAGGACAGAGAGAGAGGGGGGGGAAGGACAGAGAGAGAGGAGGGGGGAAGGACAGAGAGAGGGAGGGGGGGACAGACAGAGAGAGAGGGGGGGGGACAGAGAGAGGGAGGGGAGGGACAGGAGAGAGAGGGAGGAGGACAGAGAGGGAGGGGGAAGGAGAGAGAGAGGGGAAGGATAGAGGGGAGGGGAAGGAGAGAGAGAGAGGGGGGGATAGGAGAGAGAGAGAGAGGGGGGGATAGAGAGAGAGAGGGGGAAGGATAGAGAGAGAGAGGGGAAGGATAGAGAGAGAGAGAGGGGAAGGATAGAGAGAGAGAGGGGGAGAGAGAATTTTTTTTCTTTTTTTTTCGATGACCGGTTGCACTATACACGGGTACATTTTATTATCTTCAACACTTGCATTATACACAGGTAGATTTTAATATTTTGTAAATGTTAAAAATCATGCATTTTCGGTGACGATTTGCACTATACACAGTAAATTATTTCTGGAGGGCTTCAAATTTATGCCAGAAGATTCCGGGGATGCACGATGAGTATTCACTGTATATCCCTTGTCTACATTTCTATCTAGGTAAGTTCATTTTCTTTGCTGGCGTGCATATATAAGGTACTTACCTACCACCTTCATGCAACCGAAAGTTTCATATGCGTAAATATTTGCTATGACAGCACAATCACCAGGAGAGACAGTTGTCTCTTCTGATCGCCTGACGATTGTGCTGCCATACCAAATATTGAGTCCTCCACAGGAGCTAGCTTAAAGACCGCCCGATAGGGTGGCTTTTAAGCTAGCATACAATTTTAAGCTAGCTGAAATTTGGGATATAAAAAGAAAAAAGAACCCCCTTGAACCATGAAAACCACGATAATGGCTAGTATAATATATTAATATATATATTTTTAACCTCGCATAATCTGGCAACTCTGAATCTGAGCTCAACGAAAATCGTTCCCTGCGCCTAACTTTTCTAGGGCTTTTGAATGAGCTACTAATCATTGGAATTGGACCAGTGGGAGCAGAGTAGTTGCTTGGACACACACACTGTAATATATATATATGTACAGTGTGACCCGGATATAAGAGAGATTTTATCTGGTCCCAAATTAGAGCCCATACTTACCTAAACAAAATAGACCAAACCCGGATATAAGAGACTTCTTCTCAGGTCCCGACAACTCTCTTATATCCGGGTTACACTGTATATTATATATATATATATATATATATATATATATAGTGTAACCCGGATATATATCTATCTATATATATATATAGTGTGTGTGTGTGTGTTTGTAAAATAGGATACAGAATCCCGACAAAATTTTGACGAAATATAACAAATGGAAAAGTTTCGTTGAAACTAGATTTGATTACCTAAAAACAAATCTTTTACTTTCAACCTATTCTGAAAAAATGGATATGGATTTGCTTTAAATTCTTTTCAGAAAAGGTTAAATGAATCTTTTGTTTTCGAGTCATTTTGAAAATAGAATGAAGAGTTACCTTAAAATCCACGCAGAAATGTTCGGAAAATGTATAAATAAATTCCAACAAAAGCTAAAAAAATATAAAGAAAAGATACAGAATAACTATTAATAGATTTATTTATTTTTTATTTATTATTTATTTTTTATTTATTTTTATTTATTTATTTTTTTATTTATATTTTATTTATTTTTGATTTAATTATATTTATTTATTTTTATTTATTTTATTTATATTTATTTATTTCATTTATTTATTTTATTTATATTTATTTATTTCATTTATATTTATTTATTTCATTTTATTTATATTTATTTATTTCATTTATTTATTTTATTTTATTTATATATTTCATTTATTTATTTTATTTATATTTATTTATTTCATTTATTTATTTTATTTTATTTATATATTTCATTTATTTATTTTATTTATATTTATTTATTTCATTTATTTATTTTATTTATATTTATTTATTTCATTTATTTATTTATTTAATTTTATTTATATATTTCATTTATTTATTTTATTTATATATTTCATTTATTTATTTTATTTATATTTATTTTTATTTATTTCATTTATTTATTTTATTTATATTTATTTTTATTTATTTCATTTATTTATTTTATTTATATTTATTTTTATTTATTTCATTTATTTATTTTTATTTATTTATTAAACACACACAATGTCACTCATTTTCTTTCATCACAAGAAACGCCAGCTTAGCGGAAAAAGTGCCAATGATCTATTATTTAAGCATACACAAAAATGTACACACTTCTTTCTTTCGTTTTTAATCTGTAAAACCCATAAAAGGTGAAACGAGTAATCAAATCTAGTTGCAGGAACCATTTTTCCATTTGTCATGTTTCTTCAATATATATAAGAAGCCACCAGTTGCCTAATAAAAGCTCCCATTAAATATTTCCATTAAGAAAAGATATGCGGAAATTAACATATAAAACACGAAATTTTTACCAACATTCTTTATTTAACATCAATTTCGTTGTGAAAACATCGATTTGCATAGTAAAATCTGAATGTGCAATTTTACAACATTTAATAATTTTATCTTAATTTACGTAAGCTTATGCAAATTAAAAATTATTTAAAATTTGCTCAGGTGTTCAGTATTTCTCTAAATGAATCTGAAACTCCGCCATGTACCAGATGCGCGCACATTTTCATTGTTAATTTGGAATGAAATTATAAAACGAAGGAAAGGAATAGACAGAGTTAAAAAGAACGTAGCGTTGCTTAATTGAATTTCAAAGAATCTTTTTAAAATGAATTCACCTACAAGCAAGGGAATAAAGCCACTAAGACACAATCGGTCACTGTGTGTAAAAGAATAAGAAAAATAAAACATTATTAAAGACAAAGAACAAAAAGGATAGGAATCAAGAAGACAGTAGATAAATATTAACACTGCATTTAAATTTTTGAAGATCAAAGATGACTGGAAAGCAGGCCGGAAAAAAAAAGAGCTCCACAAACGAGAAGTGTGAGAAAAACAACAACGAGCTTACTGTTACATCTAGTTCAACTGTAAAATGATGAGACCTTACCGCCAGTCTAGTACTGCGCTTAAATTCATAAAGTATAGGTAACATAGAATAGAGAACAATTAATATGAAAGTATTTATATATAAAAAAAAAAAAGCACAGGGAAGCTACATTACGACGGAGAGAAAGTGACTGTTGCCGAGATGCGAGGTCAGAATCAATAAAATTAATTATACTTTGGATTTCATCGGGCACCTAAGTGTCCTGGGTATGACGACAAACTACATCCGGTATCAACAAAGCCTCTGATCGGGATGTTTTGAAGAGTGTGGAACAACCTCTTAATTTCTGGTGTTCCCAGGTCCACCCTAACTCAGGGTGGTAGCATATGTTAGGCTCCCATATGATATATCAGGTAGCAAGGTAAATTTGCCTTGCTAGCTGACGAAAACTCACGGTTGAAACCCGGGTAGTCCAGAAGATAAATATATTCATATTTTTAGAGTATTAACCTGCTCTGCAAGTTCAAATATCTGAACAGTGCATTAAGCACATTTTTACCCATATATCGGTCTTTGGCACGGTAATTACCCGGTCTATTTTACGTACATTGTCTGTCTCTCTCTCTCTCATATATATATATATATATATATATATATATATATATAAATAAGTCTATTTAGTCTGATTGATGTAAGATTGTGACACTGGGTTTCACGCTCTCTGCGTTCGTCAGAGAAACTGATTAATTTCTAAATTTTGAATACCTATATACACAACCATAAATAAATAAATAAATCCAAAATTTAAAAATTAATAAGTGTCTGACGATCGCAGAAAGCGTGAAACCCAGAGTCACAAAATCACATCAATCCAACTATATATGTCAGCTCTATCATTGATATTGAGCATTTTCCAATAAGTACCGCATATATATATATATATATATATATATATATATATATATATATATAGGGTATCCCAAAATAATGTATACACTCTTTGAATCTTTATAACTTATTCAATTTATGTATTTTGACATATAAATAAGATTAATAGAAGAGAAAGAATACACATTTAAAGAATTTCAGAGTAAAATCTACAAAATAGAAAATTAACTAGAATAAGAGAAAAGCTACTTGGGGTAATAGCAGAATGTTCATATAATGATGAGTTCACATCAAGTGCTCAAACTGGTTGCCGTTCTGTTCAATACACTTTTCATATCTTGAAGAAATAAACCTACAAATGTCCAGTATCATTTCCTGTGGTATTTGAGCACATTGTTCTTCAATCGAAAATATGTGTGTATTGTATCCGAAATGCTATTGAAAATGAGTTATTGGTTTTTTGAACGCGCCAAAGCAACGCTGAGTTTGATTTTAAATTTTTTAGTGTTTGCGTTTATACCAAATATGGTGATGAACAAATTATTTTACTGGTAAATTTTACTGTCAAAGTGGCATGAACTATATTGTTCAATAATTACAGTAATGTCGCACTTATTATCCAAAAGTCGCACATGGATCAGTTATTTAAATTACAATAAACGTGCAATCAATTTACAAATACATGAATTATTCACACAAAACTAATGCAAAGGTTAATGATTTAAATGGCGAGACA